GTGGTGGCCGGGGGCGGGATGGTGGGGCAGGCCATTCTGGTGCCCTTGCAAGGAGGCCTCCCAAGCTGGGCCAGCCCTGGGTCTTGGCTGCGAGGGGGCTTCCTGCAAGCTGCACGTGGGACAAAGTGGCACAGAACTGTCCACACACGCGGTCCCGACGTCAGGCCCCTGGTTACACCCGCCGCAACCACCGGGGAAACCGGGTGAAGGGTACGAGGAGAGTTCCTGTTCTACCTTTTCAACTTCCTGCGAATCTGTCATGATTTCAAAGTAAAATCTTCAGAGGATGACGGTGGGCCAAGCAGACGTGACGGGCGGGCAGGGAGAGGGTTGGTCCCCGAGCCAGCAGATTGGATCCTCTGGTGTCAGGGGACGGGACATTCGCATGCCGGATCCTCTGGTCCCAGCTCTCCGATTCCGAGGCCGATGCCGAGGTCTGACTGCGGGCATCAGAGACGGCAGGTGGAAAGATGCAAAACTTGTGTGCGCGTGCTGCGTTAACGCTCCATCTCTGTGTAATTAATTGCTACCAACTCAGTGACTGAAAGCTTAACACGCATTTATTACGGCACACTTTCTGCGAGTCAAGAGCGTGAGTTCAGGCAGCAGGCTTCTCTGCTCAGGGTGTCACCAGGCTGAACTCCCAGCGCCAGCTGGGGTCTCGTCCGACGCGGGGGGCCTCTCCCAGGCCACTGGTTGCTGCTAGAATCCGTGTGGCCGCGGTGTGACCGCGAGAGCCCGAGGAGGGCGTCTTGGCGAGGACGGAGCCTCACGGGACACGCCGTGACCATGGGGTGACCGCCCCGTCACAGTCCTGGCTCCCGTCCACGCTCGAGGGAGAGCCTGACCACACAAGCCCCTCTGGGTTCTGCCCACCAGCCACGCCCAGGTCCCCAAGAAAGGCCTTGCGGTGACCATGCCAAGCAGGGCACTGGCTGTCCTCTCACTTCTTGGTTAGGGTGCCCGTGAAGTCCCCATCCCCTGCGCAGGAGCGGCCTCCCTCTCTGCGGCGCGGTCTGCCGTGGGGCTCGTACCTGGTGTCGTCCCCTCCCTTGCAGGGACTTGTTTCTAACCAGTAGGTTACGTGGCTGCTGTTGCTCCTCTCATTTCCTTGCGTCACGTGAGACTGGACGCTTCCTCCTCCTCCTGCTGGCCTTGGAGAAAGCCACCATGAGTCCCACAGCCACGACCCCTGGGGGGCGAGCCCCTCTGACCAGGGTGTCAGCGATACGTGACCACGGTGAGTCGGCATTTACAGTTGGCCTGTCGACTCCTCTTTTCACACCCCAGAGCGTAGCGATGCTAGGATTTTATGCCGTAACAGCAGAATTCGGGGGCGCCCGGGGGGCTCAGTCGGTTAAGCATCTGACTCTTGATCATGGCTCATGTCATGATCCCAGGGTGGTGGGATTGGGCCCCGTGTCGCGCTCCAAGCTCAGCGAGGAGTCCACTTAAGATTCTCTCTCTCTGCTCCTCTCCCCAGCTCATACATTCACTCTCTTTTTAAGAAAGCAAAAAAAAAAAAAAAAAAAAAAAAAAAAAAAAAAGGGGGCGCCTGGGTGGCTCAGTCGGTTGGGCTTCTGACTTCAGCTCAGGTCATGATCTCGCAGTTCATGAGTTCGAGCCCCGCGTCGGGCTCTGTGCTGACAGCTCAGAGCCTGGAGCCTGCTTCGGATTCTGTGTCTCCCTCCCTCTGCCCCTTCCCTGCTCATGCTCTGTCTCTCTCTCTCTCTCAATAATAAATAAACATTAAAAAAAAATTTTTTTTAAGAAAAAAAAAAAACCAGCAGAGTTCAGTAGCTTCCTTAAGGTCGAGTTCCTGAATCTACTGCATTTTTACATGAAAATATTGCATGGAAATGACTGGGCTAAGAAAATACTGCTGTCTAGGCAAAACCGTGGGCTGCAAAGCTCTGTATGAGACTAGGCAAAGACTCAGAGACGCTATTTTGTAGAAATTGCTGAATCCAAATGCAGAGCAGATTTTGCTCTAATTTATATCCTCTGCCAACTTGCGATCTATAAGGAATTGTGATGTTTTGCCTTTTCTTACGGTCCCCATCTCTAATTGCTAGCGACCTGGGCAGAACTACAATAAATAGGATTTATAAAATTACATTTTTGGGGGTGCCTGGGTGGCTCAGTTCATTAAGTGTCTGACTTTGGCTCAGGTCATGATCTCACAGTTTGTGAGTTCCAGCCCCACATCAGGCTCTGTGTTGACAGCTCAGAGCCTGGAGGCTGCTTCAGAGTCTGTATCTCCCTTTCTCTCTCTCTCTCTCTCTGCCCCTCCTCAGCTCATGCTCTCTCTTTCGCTCTCAAAAATAAATAAACATTAAAATTACATTTTTGCCTATCAGACAAATGTGGGATGTTTGTGAGGGTTACAGGTGACTATATCTACTCCTCTTGAACACTCTTCCTGGTTCTTAACATGTAAATAAGATTAGAATAAACTAGGGGTTGGCAAACTTCCTATAAAGGGCCGGTCAGTAAACATTTTCAGCTTTGTGGGTCATAGGGTTTCGGTTGCAATGATTCAACACTGCCATTGAGTACAAAACCAGCCATAGGCGATATGGAAATGAACAGGTGTTGCTGTGTGCCAATAAAAGTTACGAACGGAAATTTGAATTTCGTGTAATCTTCATGTTATGAAATATTACTCATCTTTTTTTCCATCATTTAAAAATATAAAAACCAAGAGCGCCTGGGGGGCTCAGTCGGTTGAGCGTCTGACTCTCGATTTCAGCTCACGTCATGATCCCAGGGTCGTGGGATCGAGCCCCACATCTGGATCTGCCCTGAGCGTGGAGGTCTGCTTGAGGTTCTCTCCCTCTCCCTCTGCCCTTCTCCCCAGTTGAGCGTGTGCACTCTCTCGCTCTCTCCAAAAGTTAAAAAATTAAAAAAATATGAAAGCCAGGGGCACCTTGGTGGCTGAGTCGGTTAAGCTCAGGTCTTGATCTCAGCATTGTGAGTTCAAGACCCGCATTGGGCTCCATGCTTGTGTGAAAAAATGAAACAAAACAGAATCCCCCAAAAAAGAAAGCTGCTTAAAAATATAGCAATAAGTAAATAAATAGATAAATAAATGCCATTATTAGCTCATGGGTAGCATGGGAACAGGCAGCAGGCTCGATTTGGCCTGTGAGCCATGGTTCGTTGACCCCTGGCTTTTTAGATTACCTCCACAGTCTGTGCCATATTGAGATCACAGGTTAAAACCCAAATATTTTTTGCTTATCTGAATGTCCTCAGTGTGCCACAAAAATAACTCATATAGTCCCAGTTGCTTGAAAAACTCAGACTACTGGAGTCATCCCAGCTCCTTCCATTTCTCCCCGTCCTGTTAGGTCAAGACGAGAAAAGTAAAGTGTCAGGGATGACAAGACGGGAAGAGATGGGCGGGCGGCTTTTGTCTGAGGTCTGACTCAGACCTTGTGTCCCCAAGCCCACACACACGGGGACAGAGCCTGAAGACTTTGCCCCAACGATGGGGATTCACTGATGGAGATTCAGGACTTCTCTGTCAGGCACACATTAATTTGGACTGAACTAGGAATACGGAATCTCCATGGTCTTCCCCAGCTAGCTTCTCTCTCCTGGGCTGCACCTGCACATCTATAAAACTATGCGCTGACCTAGATTAGGGGGTCAGTAAGCTAACTGAACAGCCTCGGGTACGTGTAGTTTCCATTAGCTACCCTAACATGCGAAAATATCCATATTTTTAATAAGTATTATAATTTTTTTTTTTTACATTTATCAAGTTTTGAGAGACAGAGTGAGACAGCAAAAGTTGGGGAGGGGCAGAGAGAGAGGGAGACACAGAATCCCAAGCAGGCTCCAGGCTCCAAACTGTCAGCACAGAA